AATTGTAGAGTATCATTCATCTACAATAAATATTGAAACAATCACTACAAAAATTGATTTTGTGTTGATGTAACGTTATGATAACGAATTTCTATACGGCTGGTTGGTGTAGCACAGATAAACAATTTTCAGGAATCTAGTAAGTATTCTGATCCATTGAAACTTCAAACTCCACATAAAAGATCATTTATTTTTCATTACATCTACAGATACGAACAAGTACAATTCATCAGCCACACACTATAATATATTACAAGGTGTGCTTATAATAATCCACAATATTTAATAATGTTTACTTCTGACTTCCTTCTCTTAAATTACCAATAAGACATTTCTATATTTACAAACACATACTTACATTTTAATAGGAACTTTGGTTTCTTTCAGAGAAATATAAAAATCTCCTACTTGGTTTATTTACACAATGTATATACAATGAGATCAATAAATTAAGAGAGACAAAGAGATCATTCACAATATCAAGGAAAATAAGGAAATGATTCTTACTGGTTCATTTTCAAATAATGCTCATTTGATCCTATTCTTTATTTGTATTATTTATATTTTTGTAACAAATTACGCAAACAAATCTATCGCAATATAATTCCTTCCGAGCAGAAAGTTTAGATATTGACAAGCAATGCTCTAAAGCATGATTGTTCAATACAATATATGACCCACCCGACAATTACTAGGAGCTAGTACTCCGAAACAGGTATGTCTGTGTCATCCCGACCAAATGAAATAATTTCAGCTTTTCATAAATATGAAATTACTAGCGGCGAATATTCCAAAAGGAAGACGTTGCACAGGTGCCCGATGGTTTTATTTCAGCTTTCTGCGCGTCATTAGCTGGGTAAGATGTTGTTGTTCCCTCAGATATCTGCCACCCGTAGCTACAAAGTCACAAGTCTCACAAGAGGGGCAAGAGTTTGGTATTTTTACCAGAACTTGGATGCCAACTCTCCCGAGTATATTTATTTATTATTCCAACTCCCTCGCCAGAGAATGTGTTAGTGGAGTTGCTTCCGGACTTTGTCTGCAGGTGGCGCAGTGGTACATCCTACTGAATCAACTGCAGGAATCAATTTTGTTTGTTCGAGATGTTCAGTTGTCTTTCTGACAAACTTCAGCTAAAAGGGGAAGGGAGCCAGGCTTCAACCTGAATAAAATCAAGATGGTTAACGTCATCGTCGGTTCACTCCGTCTGAAATGACCATCCCGATTGTGATGAAGAGCTAGGACTCCGAAGCCGGTCTGTCGGTGGTCATCCCAACCAAATATTGCAAATGCAATGATACATGGAGCAAAGTTTCACTGGATGCCATGAATAATATCATTATTCTATAACCTTCTACCCTCTTATAGAAAATATAATTCGAATAAAAATATTTTCCACGATTTAAGACACATTTAGTAGCATTTATGAAAACTTCTCTGATTCAACTATTTTTCAATAGCCAAAGGCATTGTTATAACTAAATGAAGATAAATTATTTGAATAGACAACAATTGGAAACATATTATGACATCTAAATGTAGAAAAAGGAACAGAAATGGTATATTATGTAAAAATATAAAAAGTGCGCATATACTTGTTATTTTGTGGTGAATATTGAAAAATAGGTCATAAACGTAAATTAAAAATCGTACATGAAGAATAAGAATTGGAACCCTTAAAATTCACAGTACAATTGAAAATAGTATTCACAAGGCATAAATTCAAGTGTAAAAAATCGTACGTTACATTACCAAATGCAATAACGTAGTACGATCAGATACGTTTATTTTTCATTAACGTAGTACCAGTGAGTAGTATATGAAACTCAAAACACCATAACTTGTTACAGCTTGACTGTGTATGTTAAACGTAATTGAGATAATGTCATTTTTAATTCCATAAAAATGATTTTCTCATCTCAAATTTGAAAATATTATTTTTGACTACTACATAATTTTCAACTTCTGCCAGGTTAGTTCAATCGGATCGAGATCACAATAGTAGAAAGGGTAACTTTTGCCATTTTGTCAATGCATGTTTATATGCATTTGAAAATTTTTGCTAATGATGACTCAAGCTTCAGTCTCCACTAGGTCAGTGCTCAATTCTTTTTACTTTGACTTTTGACATGATTTACTTTGAAATACTCATGTTTTCCTGCAATGGTTTGAAGCGTGGATAAGAACTGTGTTGAAAAATTTATTATATTTTAATATGTAGTATATAGTTTCTACTTCATTTGGTTATTTGAGTTTAGTAGTCAATATTGAAAGGCTATAAAAAATTACTATTTATTGATTTCGAGCTTCCGGAATGTTTTATTTCCTTTTTCAAGAATATCTAAAATTAAAAAATGGATGCAAACAATGAATTAACAGAACATATGAAAATAACTCGCCAAAATGAAGTTTGAAAATGAAATCACATGAATTTACAAATATAAAGAACGATGAAAGATGAAAATTTTTGACAAATGTTGAATAATCTGTCATATCATCAGAGAAAATGGATCTGAATATAATTTTGGTCTTCATAGACCAAAATTTTTCATCTTTTATCTTTCTTTATGTTCGTAAGGTAACGTTCGTAAGGTGAGGCCTCATTAGTTCTTAGCTCGCACAACTTTCTCAACTTCTGAGAGTTGTCGTTCGTATGGGTGCGACAGCTGATTAACGGAAAAAAACAGAAACAAACAGAATTCATGCAGTTTCATATTTTTCAATAGTAGGAACCTATTTTTCAACATTCAAAAAACTCAGATGTTAAGATTTCACTGTCGCCAAAGAAATATATATGATTTTGAAGCTGAAATTGGTGAAATTAATATGCAGAATACATGTGCAGAGGTTAGGTTTTTGAGAGTATCTATGAATCTCTCTTGGAAATTCCATTGCCAACAATTATCTTCCAACTGAATTCTTTAAAATATTTCTTTATCAATTTACGATCTGTTTAAGAAGTGAAACTAGCGATAATTCATAGGTATTTTGAAGTGCTTTCCAGAACTAATGGATGAATTATATCAACTCTTCCACAGAAATATTTCAGGAAAACGCTTGATTTACATTTTTTGAATGTCATTTGCTCATCATTCAATCCCCTTCCCTTCATCCTAGCAAAGCGTCCTTGCGATAATTCAATCGATAGATTTTCAATATCGAATACAATACAAATACTTTGTCAGTTGACAATTAATGGTAATAGAACTAAATTAGCAAAAACAACAGTATTTATTCAATTTTTGAGAAATAATCATCGTATAAAAAGTATTTGACAGTGGTATTAACGAAGTCGACGTGCACTATGTATATGTTCACCATTATGGTTTAACTGAATTCTGTGCATGTGAATCACTTTTGTATTCGGAAACAATACCGCTGAAATAGGAAGTTCAGCTGAATATTGTTCCCCATCCAATGTTCCGTTAGGTAAAGAAATAGGTTCCAATAATTCGAGAACCCACTGTACTAGCCTGCACATTAAGCTTTTAGGAATGTTGTGTATGCACTTTCATTATCCAATACGGATTTTGAATCGCAGTTTGTGAACGGCACTTTTGTTTATTATTGGTACCAATCAAATGAAATGCCTCATTAGGGAAGACGATACGTATAATAGACCAAATATTTATATCAGAGAATGCTATCACTGCCTTAACTTAATTGCAATCGAGAACAAAATCATTATAGGTTATTTTTGTTACCAAATTGATGTTACGGATAAAATGCATGCTTATGAAGAAGTCTGGAAACTATTTTCAACAAAAGACATGAAAAGTGACCTCCAGGAGAGTTGAAAGTGGATTTTCTTTCAACACTGGTTTCATTAAGAGCTCGAATATTTTTTCAATGCAATTAACCGTTAAATGCGATATTGGCGGATGATTTTTAAAGAATATCCTTCATGCATCTGACTTCCATTTCCAAACACAATCTACATTAAAACATCGATTCTCTTGGTTTACCTCAATCGTGAGAAGATAAGAGTCTAAATCCTATAAATTGTGAATAACATAAATAATAAACCAATGAATAGTTGCTACGATTTTGTTTTCACATGCTACCTACTTGCACTAACACTTTCATTTGAGTACATTTTGAGAAACATCTTCCTCACTATCAAGTTTTCACAAGGGATGTCTTGACTTTGAATTTTTGAAGTTTTGTTTGAAATGTGTTTTTCCGTTAACAAGCTATCGCCTCCTTACAAAAAACAACCCTCATAAGTCGGAACTTGAATAATTTGAGGATCAACAAGATCGTACCTTTCTGCGATTTCTAGCATGACTCAGACGATACGTAGTGATCATCGATCATCCCACAGTTGGGATCGAACCAACGTTCAGATAGTGGTTGATTCGTAGAACTAACCACTTATGCTAACAACCTAGTAACGTCTGATATATGCTTTTGAATAATTTTGTGAACGATTTTCTAAAATTCATTCTTTACTTTAGGGAATTACTTTATAACTCCCGAATAACTGCTTATTATGCAGCAGTATATTGTGTAATATCGAGTTAGTATATGCATTATCGATTATATTTTTGAATATTCCCAAAATTCATTGGTTCTTCCACATTCTAGATTAACCAATCAAAGAAAATCAGTGATTTTCTTGAAGAATTACCTGAGTATGCATATAATTTATCCTACATATAGAATTTATTATTTTTAAATGTCCTTTGTTTATGCTTTGCCTTCAAATAAGGGGTGCCTGAAATGAAATTTGAATTGTATTAACGCCATTGTAAGCAAAAAGTTCAGCGAGAAGTTATTACACATTTCTTATTGATTGGGAAATTTATAAGCTATAATTAAACTATAGAAAGGGGCCCGTTCCTAAATGACTAGTGATATTACGAATCAAGTAATAACTATGTGGCGTCCAAAGAAATTTCCACAGGCGAAGGACAATAGCTGTAATGACTCATAATTGCATTTTTAATTTCTTATATGAAAACATCAGATAGCTTCTCGTCAATTGAATTTAAATACTTTTTCACAAGTGACTATCGTATACAACAAATGGGATTTGTTACAATAACTAACAGCTATATACATTTTGAATCGTATACATTTATGGAAAATTAAGGGAATTGCTATGGAACATTTCCAAAATCTTAAATCTAATAATAAAAAAATTAATTTACATTCAGTTTCTTCATTGCGGAGTATTTACAAGTTTCGTATTGGATACATCACAGATTTAGACCATGCCTTTGGACATCATACGTACAGTATTTTTCAGGGCTTGCCTTTTATTACAAAACCAAATTCGTATAACTTCTCTTTCGTATCCTAATTGATGAGCCAGACCGGTTATTTCGGTACCTGGAATGTAAAAATAAATTGAACAATACCATATTCATCCCATATAAGACCATTATTGTAGCTTCCATTATTAATCAATACAATGGGGAATGTTTCTCCTGACGAAAATCAAGTAGTTTTCATAAAAGAGCTCTAAAACAACGCATTTTAAACTTATCTTTTATATACTTAAAAAAGAGGAATGAAACAATGCATTCAACATTTAAAGGGATTCGTTTGTATTTCACCATTTGGCAACATCGGTTATAGCTAATAAAGGACAATGAATCTGTTACCTGTATGAGACAAACAAAGATGACATATTTCAGAGGCGTGCTGTTCTGTTTACTTATGTTCCGAGTTCCGAGACATTCTGTCACATATGACTTTTTGTGCACCTAACCTATCTTCCTCTATATAAATAAATAGCAGAACAACTGTTATTTATGTGGCTTGTGGAGGTGGTATTGAACTATAATTTATATTTTCCCTTATTTGTTGATATAGGCGCTGTGAATTGAAAACAAATCCCTTTAAGATTGAAACCCAACATTTGAAACATCAATTTGAATAATTTTCGAAGTGAATTTGAAAAATTCATAAATCAAACTCAACTTTATTTTGTTCAAACTTGCATTTGCTGTAATAACCCAAATTGAGGAACATTCCCCATTGGAAAAAAGACGGGATTGAAAAAAGGGATTTTCACATGTTCGGTAATATTTATTTTTCTGTGTCGAGGTATACAGGGCGTTCCAACGAAAACTCGACCCCAGCCCCTATAAGTCAGAAACGGACGTGTACTCAAAAATTTCAAAGAACACTTCAATTTTAATTTCTAGAGGGACTAATTTTGATATGGAAATCATACCCAAAACATCACTCTCCTGCGGTCAGTAACTTCCATCCCTATTTTTTTTATAGCATGGGGGGTCGAGTGATACACCATTTGAAAGGTCTTTTGTCCCTCTATTACGTCTGTAATTTTTTTCGAAATTGGTTCATTTGTTATTGAGAAATTAAATGTTGAACGTTTTATTTAAGAAAAAACAGAGAATTTGCTGTCGTTCATTTTAATGAGAAAATCAACAAAAAATATTATCAGTGGAAACAAAAACAACGAATACATTGTTCCACACGACCTCCACCTAGTTCCATAACTTAATACAGTCTACTTTCGAAAGCGTTCCGTACATTATTCAAGATGTCCGGAGTTAGCAATAGGCATTCCCGGACAATTCTCTGTCGCAGGTCTTCTAGTTTTGTTGGCTTAGTAGAGTCCACTTTCGACTTCAGATGTCCCCACAGAAAGAAGTCCATCGATGTGAGATCAGGTGATTCAGCTGGCCATTCAACTGGACCCCTTCTGCCGATCCAATACATTGGAAAACGTTCGTTCAAAAACTCAAAAAAAAATCTCACCGAAAATAAAATGTGGGGGTGCACCATCCTGCTGGAATGTTATTTCATTTTCTACTAAATTGTCATCATTTTCTGAAATTTATGTAGGTAATCATAGGATCCACGCAGTATTGGAATAGATTTAAGTATGTGTCTCCACTGAGATGACTTTTAATGAAGAATGGTAAAACAATATGATTACCAAAAATGCCGGACCAGACATTCAATTTTTGTGGAGTTTGTGAATGTGTTTCCATCACCAAATGAGGATTCACATCGCTCCAGTAACGACAATTATGCCTATTCACTTCACCATTCAACATTATTGTATAATAGGTTTGGGTTATTTGTCAATTTCTCGCTGAACACCCACAAAACTGAAGTCGAATATCAGGACCATCTTCGTTTAATTCCTGAAGAAGTGTCATTTTGAAAGGATGGAATTTGTAGACTTTCAAAATCCGAAAAACACGAGTAGCTGATACACCAGACGCTCTAGCTCAGTGGTTCTTAACCGGTGGTCAGCGTACCACTGGTGGTCCCTGGAAGCATCCCATAATAAATATGTTAGACGGGTCGACACGATACAATGCAATCCATCGCTAAAATGTTTGAAGAAGAGTTACTATTTCCTCAAGAACTTGAAACGAAGAGTCAATGTGCAGATGTTATGGATTCGATAAGTCAATATATGGAAAAACATGGACTTATGTGGGAACGGCTTGCGGGATTTTGTTCGGACGGTGCTCCTGCTATGCTTGGTTGTCGCACTGGTCTTGCAGCATTGATAAAAACCAAAAATCCGTTTGCAATTACGACACACTGCGTTATTCATCGTCAAGTACTAGCTGCCAAGACGCTTACAGAATGCTTTGCTTTGACGATGAAAATAGCTAAAAAATTAATAAATTTCATTGAAAAGAATACACTCAATACTCGTCTCTTCAAACAATTATGTTCTGATATGAACTCTGAGCATGAAACTTTGCTTTTCCACACGGAAGTGTCTTGGCTTTACAAAGGAAACATGTTATTGAGATTGTACGAACTAAGAGAGGAAGTTAAAATATTTTAACTAACAAGGAAAACAAATAGTTGTTGGATCAGTTCTGCGAGTCCAAATTTCAAATACATTTTGCTAATTTTTTTTGCGCAACTGAATAAATTGTACCTTCTACTGCCAAGGTCGGCAAATTTGATGTTGCACTGATGATATGCGTTTGAGTTTAAGTAACACTGAACCAAGGATTCAGAATTCAGTAAAGAGTATTCAATCACAGAAATCGCATTAACAATTTTTGTTAGAGTTACAGATTCTACCTAATGACTAAAGGACATTAAATAATTTTATGCGTATTTTATTTATAGATGAATTAGAACACCCATTCCATTTATTTACTGTACTGTATTTATTTGTAGTATTCGTAATGTACTCTATATTAACTACAAACTAATTAACCAACTTGGTGGTCCATGACCTGACAGAAATTTTGTCAAATGGTACCGCATGACTATTTAAGAACCACTGCTCTAGCTACTTGTCTGATAGATTGTCGATTATCCATTTGTACATGTCCTGAAACTGCAAATTCAACTCCGTCATTTCTGACAGGACGAGATACTTTACGTTTTCTGTTGTGAACAGAACCTGAGGTTTGAAACATACCCATTAACTATTTAAGTATTGTTATCTGGATGATTCGCAGCAGCTTTATCAAATTCATTATTTCGATAATAGGTTGCAACAATTTCTATTTCTTCAGTGGAATAAACCATGTTGGAACACAGTGAACAAGGATGACTGAATAATAATTCGTGAAGAAGTGACTGTGGACAACTATCTACGTTTTGTTCTGCGACAACTAGATTCAACAAGAACTACTAGTGCAGAAAAAACTAACAGTATTGTCCATTTCAATACGTTAACTGCAAAGTAAATGAATTTCACAAATCTAGAAGACATGCCACAGAGAATAGTTCGGAAATGCCGATTTCTGACTCCGGACATCTTCAATAATGTAAGGAACGCTTTCGAAAGTAAACTGTATTAGGTATGAAACTTGTTGGAGGTCATTTTGAACACATTATCCGTTGATTGTGTTGCCATTGATATTACTTTTGTTGATTTCCTCAATAAATTGTGCGACAGCGAATTTTCTGCTTNTACCCAAAAAGCGACAACTCACAGGAGCAGATGTTCTGGCTATGTATGTTGAAGCTGAACTGACAAGACACCAAAATAATATAATAAGAGAGCAAGATAAGGAGATATTTCTATCTTATAAGAAGATCCAAGCGGCGAAAAAGGAATGTTAGCCTAATAAAGACAGCATTATAGTAACAGATACTTCTGCCGAAGTACAACTGCAAGTTCTTCTCAATCATACCGCTTCACGCCTCCTGGATGCTCAGCACGCAGTTTTGAGTAGCAAGACCTTTCAGAAATTGATTTTAATTTGTAAGTGGGGTTTTGATGGATCAGCACAAGCAGAATATAAACAAAATTTCGACAGTGATCTAAATGCCAGAGATGCAAATATTTTCATTTCCTCTCTTGTACCTATTGGACTGATATCGGAAAAAACCTCAGAACAACAGGAAATTATTATTTGGCAGAACACAACACGGTACTGTAGACCAATAAGATTTCAGTTCCAACATGAAACCCAAGAATTATCCAGATGGGAAAGAGAATATATAGATGCACGAATACAGCAATTGCGGCCACTGACATATGAATTCAATAACACCCATATTGAGGTAAATTTCAAATTGCTACGCACAATGGTTGACGGCAAAGTGTGTAATGCACCCACGGAAACTACATCAACACAAAGATGTTTTATCTGTGGTCTCACATGCAAATATTTTGATAATATTGAAAAAAATCTATTTTGCAACCGAGCTGGACACAAGTAGATTGCAACTTGGCCTACCTATGCTTCATGCATGGATACGGTTTTTCGAATGTCTACTACACCTTGCATATAAACTACCGTTGAAGATATGGCAGGCCCGTGGAGAGAAAAACAAGCAAATTGTAGCGACTACAAAAAAAGATATTCAAAATCACGTCCGACATGAGTTATGTTTATTGGTAGATAAACCAAAGCCCGGTTTTGCAAGTACTAATGACGGAAATACTGCAAGGCGCTTTTTCAATAATCTAGATATATCAGCAAAAATACCTGGTGTTAATATTGATATAATAAAACGCTTCAAAATAATTCCACAAACCAAATCAAGTGGATATGAAATATATGTGGAGAGCTATCAAATGTATGCTCTATAAAAGGCAAAACGCAAGATATCACGTACTGCAACGAACGAAGATGTCCCTCACTTGCTCCTCATAACATCTGATATTTTTATCACCAGCATGAGAAAAATACCCAAGAAGAAAGCAGTATCGCTCGAAAAAGATGTATTGTTTTTAGTGAAGGAACCAGACGTGGGTATCTCACAAGATAACGACAGCAGCGAATCATTGATGAGTAATAATTTCGACGAATCGCTATGAAAATGAATATTAGTGTGAAATGAATAATTTGACCCTTCACTGACAATGCAAATAACAAATACCAATCTAGCACCACTATCCAATGTGACATTCTTTCCGAAAAACATGGGTACAAAAGTAACATGGTACTTTTGTCCCCGTAATTATTTAATTATCTATCATATTGAATGTGTGTCTTTACTTCAACAGAATGCCGCAACAACGCATAAGAACTACTGAACGAGGAACTACCGACACGGAAGTGTATCAAAAAGCTGCTGAAGAGCATTTTAAAGATGGTGCAAAAACTAGAGGCCTGGCAAAAAATATAATGCTTGCCATGTAACATTATATACATTTATAAAAAAACTAAAAGCAGGAAATACTAGCGCAGTTGTGGGCTACCGTTGCGTCAACCGTGTTTTTATTAACAATGAGGAAAGTAATCTACGCGACTATTTATTTGAGTGCTCTGCAGTGTAGTTTGGGCTATCTCGATCTGAAGTACGTAAAGTGGCCTACGAGTTAGGGATTGAAAATGAAAAAACATTTCCTGAAAAGTGGCACGATAGTCGAACAGCGGGTAAGGAATGATTGACGGGATTTTTAAAACGACAACCGAGTCTGCCTTTTATATGTCCTCAGGCAACACGTCTGTCGCGGGCTTCAAGTTTCAACGAACATAATATGAGTACATTTTTTGTTAACTTGCTGAGGTAATGGATAGGTACCAATTCGAGCCAAAAGATATCTGGAATATGGACGAGACAGGGGTGAGCACTGTCCAAAAACCTAGAAAAATTGTAGCTCAAAAAGGAATTAAACAAGTGGGTGCAGAGCGTGGAAGGTTAGTAACTGTTGCTGTTGCCATCAATGCTCAAGGAGGACACATCCCGTCTTTTTTCGTATTCCCACTGAAACGATTCCGAGACCACATGATACGCGAGAGTCCTGTTGGTTGTGTTGGAGCTGGCAATGCTGGTGGATGGATGCAGGATGCAGAATTTTTACTGTTTCTACAACATTTTAAAAGACAAGTTGAGCCCATCAAAAATGCTTGTTATTGCTCGACAACCATGCATCGCATATATCGATTCAAGCTCTAGATGTTGGTAAAGGAAATGGAATAGTACTTCTATCGTTCCCACTCCATTGCACACACAAACTTCAGCCTTTGGATAGAGCAGTATTTGGACCATTTAAGAAAATGATAAACACCGCTACAGACAACTGGATGCGAAATCATCCTGGTCGAACGATGATTATTCATTACATTCCTGAGATTGTTAGAGAAGCATTTCCCCTTTCAGTCACTAATAGAAATGCAATTGCTGGATCTACCTGTACCGGCACAAGTCCATTTGATAGGAATATGTTTCTGCTATTGACTACGCTAATGACTGTGACTGACCGGCCGTTACAAGTTAACAGACAAATTCCGCCAAATGATGTGTTGACTAGTTCTGACGCAATAGCATCTATTCAAGTTGATCCAAGTACTACAGCTGGTTTTCTTCCGACATCAATTAACCTATCTGTTCACCATAGAGATAGCAATGATTTGTCAAACAATAATGACCAACCACCGGTTGTTCAAAATATACTGGACCCGATCTCTGCTGACACTGATCCTCTGTTAGCTAACTCAATTTTTGGTCAAAGATCCAAATCACCAGTGGTAGGACATAGCGAGCTGCATAATACAAATTCTACCCAGCCGTATAATTTCTCACCCAAAGATCTTAGACCTTTACCACAAGCGGGTCCGAGGACTGAAACAAATAAAGGTCGTAAAAAACGTAAGACTGCAATTCTGACGGATACTCCGGAAAAAAACTTAATCGAACAAGAACACCAACAACGAAATAAAGCCAAGAAAACGGTACTGCAAACTAATACTGGAGAAGGTAAGAGAAAATGATATATGCAAAAGAAAAGGGAAAAGGAAAAATGACAAAGAAGGCACCAAAAGAAAAGGAAAATAAATCTGACGACGAAGATTGCTTTTGTCTTGTCTGTTTAGAAACTTTTGGCAATAGTCGACCAAATGAAAAGTGTATACAATGTATTGAATGTCAAATGTGGTCCCATGTGGAGTGCGTGGGTGATGATAAGAATTATGCGTGCCATAATTGCGATTCTGAGTGAGAGAATAATGACTGAGTTATACAAGTTTGAGTTTAAAAGAATGATTAACATCATACTAAATTGATCTCATTACTTAAACTAAGAATACTTTTTATTGATTTGTTTTTTTAATATATAATTTTTGAACATTTAAAATACAGAAGTTGATTTGTGTTATTATTACGAAGTCTTCAAATAAATAATTTGTTGATTTACCACGTAGAATATTGTATTCATTACCAATCCCTGGTCTTGTTACTTTCGACCCACAACGTCCCACAACTAACCGTTTTTTTTTCAATTAATGTTATTCATATAAAACACATCATAATATAATAAATCGAGTTAATAGTGTGAATTACATAAACTGAATTTATACATGGTTATATTAATTTGATAACAACAATAACATCCACCCAGAAATCAAAGTAAAAGTACAAAGCGTTACTTTTGTACCCGGTCTCCCCTACTTAAGCACCAAGAAATGCTATCGAATGAAAGTCACAAAAGTAAATAACACACAAAATCATTATACTGTTCGTATCAGTTAAAATGAAAGTCCCCAATCAACAGAGTCTCCAAAATACGAGTATATAGAAAAAAAAATGTACTCGTAGAAGCTTAAATTATTCTCATTTTGTAAAAAAATCAATTGTTTGAAAACAGTTCATATTATTTGAGAGAGTATTATTGATATTCTCTTAATAACCTCTCAATATAAATATCGATAAGATTCTCATAACAACTGATTCTCATTACTGTGATTGGAAGCGGCAAACATTAAATTCAACAAACCTGATGGGTGGGTATTCCGTTCAAAATGGGCGTTAAGTAATTCCAAAGCTTGCGGAGTGAATGAAGTTCTTCTTTTCCTTTTTTTAGATGGTTCAATTCCTATGAAGTCAGTCAGGTGATTCTGTCCACTTTTATACCTGGAAAAACTTCGCAAAATCATCTTCCAACTCGAACAGTTAGCAAGGAAATCAACCCAAAGAATTCTAATAGAATTTGGGTCAAATAGTTTTTTGAACAAACTAAATGAATTCAAAATCGTTTTATTTTCGATAATGAAATGAGTCAATAATATTTATTCTCTTTCAAAAGGATTCAACTCCTAACCGAATCATTCTCATTGTGAACAATAATGACCACTGAATTAAAAAATTGAACTGGTTCTAAAACATCAAGTTAGCCCATATTAATGACAATAATAATAATAATAATAATAAGGTTTATTCGCAGTAAACAACATATACATACATAAAAAAGTTCATTTAAAATTACAGTAACTCATTAAATCGGGATAAGTGGTGAATAAACACGGATAAAACACAGAAATAGCTGCAAAAGTTACTTGTATATGTGTATATGAAGGCAGTAACAAAATAAGTTCGATATAATAGTACAAGTACCCAATATGAAGTCGAAATTATAATTATGGTGAAATCTGGAGTTTGACATAATTGATAAAAATATGTAATATCTAACACCTTTGTAACACCTGTAGTATCTTTGTATCAAAACAACCATGATACTATTATTCACATTCTAATTCTAAGGTTTTTTCTCAAATCAGTTATATTTAAGTCACAATCCAGTTAATTTTACATTTTCAGGGTAACGTCGTTTAATACTGGATAACACGACATATAGACACAGTTACTTGTAATCAGTTGTAATAGGTGTAATTCCGTTTTTTTTTCTCTATAGTTTTTGCTTGAAAATTATATTGATTATTGGTCTATTATTGACAATCCACTTTTATATTTTCTTTTTGAATAACTTATCAACAGATATATTCTTTAGCTCATTTGGTAACAAACTATATATTCTTGGAGCACGGTAATTTGCACTTCAATGAACTACATATTTTTCACTTCTGGGAAAGAAAATTGCATCAGTTGAATTTTATTAGCTTTAACATAAAGTGAAATTTTATTAACAAATATTTGTGTCACATCTTTACATTGGTATTCAGTAAAGAGTGCGTCAGAAGAAAATGACAGATTTTTGCCACACATGATTTTCAGAATCCATCTCTGCAACACCTGTACTTGGTTCAAGAAGCAATCATCGACCCCGTCCCAGCCCAAAATCCGATAGGATATTGAGAACTCTATCAATGAAGAATAAACAGTTTTCAACTTAGTAATGTTCAGGAAATGCTTTGGATAAAAAGCCTCTTATTTTTCCTGATATTTGTTTTGTTTTTGAAAATTGTATTGATTATTGGTCTATTACTGACAATCCACTTTATTATTTTTTTTGAATAACTCATCAACAGATATATTTTTTAGCTCATTTGGTAACAAAGTATATATTCTTCTCTATTCTCTTCTGGTATTGTAAGTATGTTCATGAGGGGTAAGTTGAATTTTATTAGCTTTGACATAAAGTAAAATTGTATCAACAAATACTTGTCTCACATCTCTACATTGAGATTCATTAAAGAGTGAGTAGAAGAAAATGTCAGCTTTTTGCTATACATAATTTTCAGAACCCATCTTTGCAAAACCTGACCTGAAGCAATCATTGACCCTGCCCCAGCCCAAAATCCCATAGGATAGTAATGACTCTATCAAGGAAGAATTAAAAGTTTTCAACTGGTTAATGTTCAAGAAATCCTTCAAATATTTGAATTTGGGTTAAAAGCCTATTATTTTTCCTGATATTTGTTTTGTTAGCATATTCCACTTCACATGTTGATCCACAATGATTCCTGAATAGTTTATGTTGTCACCTTCCTTTATTCAAGAGTCTAGTCCTACATTCAAAAGCCCAAGATCTGGTAAACCAGAAGCATTATAATCCAATCTAGAAATGAACCCTGTTGAGGACAATGATTCTTGTAAAATATTTCATATACATATGTGGAACAGAAAGTAACCCCATCAACAGAATAAATGTTCAAAATCATTGGTTACTAACCTATCTTCAGCCTCTTTCATCCATCTCTCCAAAACTGGTTTGATCTTCTGGGCACTTTTGGGAGTGATATCGAGCTTTTCAAACCTAAATAGAAAAAAAGTAAAGGTTTTATCGTTGAAAATTGTTATATAATCATTTGAATTTCGGCTCAGGACACTAGCATACTAAGAGAAAAAATGTGTATCACTCAATTGTTTTGAATGCCAGTGCCCTGGCGAAAAACATCAAAACGGGCAAAGACAGAACTAGCGAACTGGTTGTTTTTTCCCACAAAAAATCCATTAAAGTAATAAAATATATGAATTGGGATTAAGACTATGAAGTATCCTACTGACGAATTCCTTATTGCGGTGAACTGTAACTTAGTGTAACAAGATCACTGATAAGTATCGAAATGTGATTCATGAATGTAATATTTGAATTATTTCTGATCCACAACATGACTTGCGAAGTTTTTTCAGAACATGGAGTGATGTGAGTGATGGAAATGATAAAAGTACATGATAGGACATTTACCTAGAGACAAAAAACTGTAATAGTAAACATAAATTCGTTGAATAACATTGGGTTTCATTTTCTCTGATTCAGTGATGTCGTTACTGTTACCAATAAATGACGTTTTTTGAATAAAAATTCGACAGTAGGATACTATCTAGATTGTTTTTTTTTCGTAAATAAAGGTAAATAACGTACATTGCTTGCTGCTGTGTGGAAAGTTGCGCGGCGGCAAACATCTGAGAAGCCAGGGCACTGGGAACAAACCATAACAATTACTTACGTGATAATGCTGGATAAATGAGGGTGGTCAAAGGTGTTTCAAGATGCGCAACAAGTGATAATGAAATCAATGGTCGCTGACTCACTATTATCAACACATATACATTTTATACTAGATATTAGTGGAGACATCCTCACATAAATACAAGGTTTTTCACAATGTGAGTCGAAAATCTATTGTAGAGAGAATTTTTTCAGTTTTGTAACTTGATAATACATGAGTAATGCATTCTTCAAATCAAACGAACACTTTGCGACAAAGTATTCATATGAAGGAGGAAAGCCTCTAAACTTCCTTCGATACTCCAGTCTATTAAATTTGCTTGTTATGTTTGGGTCTCCAATCAGATGGTCGGAACAGTAATAATCTGTAGAAGTTCTAATGTGAGCTTTGTGAGCATTGAAAAGTAGTAGGTATCTAAAGCTTTCTAGTTAGAAATATTTTCCAAGTTTCTATTCATGTAACGTGATTGTGTCAAGACATATTGGTATCCAATTTGACACCAAAAAAATAACTTGTAGAATTGCCAAAGATGTTGTTGCTAAAGAATAGCTTTGACGTCTAATGTTCGGAAATCTAAATGGAAAGAATTGAAGGAAGATATTCCAAAGTTACTTAAGAGGAACAATCTTTGAAAAAAGTCATGACCAAATATGATCTAGTGAGCCCTGAAATCGAATTTTATATGATGAATTCTCATGCAAGACATGGTCAAGGACATTGTAATTGTCAAGCGAAACAGCCGTCTTTCTTGATTGCATTACTTCAAAGATGGATGACAAATATAAATTCATCTGCTGTTTTGCTTCCGAAAATCATATTTATCATCAGTTACGATGTTGAAGCATTTCCAAATAATTCAGATCGTGATGAACTGAAAATTTTGTTCATGATTTTTAATACCACTGTTGATGAAGAGATATTTCATTACTTTTTTTTGTCTTCGATCAGATTTTTTTTATGGACGAAACACAAAAACTACAGGAAAACCCTTAAGGTGAACCAAGAAAGTAGTGATTCACATTGGATTTGAATCGCTGAAGATTATATCCATTTGGAGAACCGTTCTTAGGAAGTTTATTCTACGTGAACACAGTTCTCCAAACAGAAGAGTTTTGGAGCTGTGTAGTTCGAGGTGTACTGAGGTGAATACTTTCCGTGAAAGTATCTATTGAAGAGAGACACATCTCCAACCTTTCTTCGATGATCCAAACTATCAAGGTTGCAAGTGATATTCGCCTCTGGATTTCATCCAGCAGCTTCAGGGTGGAGCTCCATGTAAGACTGTCACCAAAGGTAGGTTAAGAACCCCGATGCAATTTCGGTGGAGCAGTATGATAACAGATAATTTATAAGGTCCAGAAATTTTGTTGATGTTGAGCTGTGTCTGTATTGATGTAATAGGACCGATAAGCAATATCCGGAATTGAGGAAATACTGGGTGTTGTTTTTCTTCAGGGATATGAATTGTTTAAAAAGTAAATTTGTTTTTTCTCTTGCCGTTGTTCCCGTTGAAAGTTGAACGATACGTTGTGTTAGAGATGAAACTGTCAAATTGATGAAATTGTGGATAATGGCTTTTGCCACCGCATAAGTGTTTGAGAATAGTATTGGTATTGAAAGAAATTTGGGTGCGCTACAGAAATTCAATTTCTGAAGGTGCTTTTTTCCTATTAATAGGTCAACAAAGGTATTTTCTGGACAAGCTCTTGCATATAGGTCTTGTGTTCAGTCCAAAATTAGAAATTAGAATCATGTTTTGTTCAAATAGGTATAGTGATAATTTGAAAAATTAAAATAAATTGAAAACTTCAAAGTTACGGTAGATGGTTGATGTTTGGTTGAATTACTTTTTCTTGGAGCCCGAAGTGGGCATATTTATATTTGATCGCCAAACAGTACTGAAAGCTTTGAAGTCACATATTTGTGATTTCCAAGGAAATTGTCCAAAACATGAAGAATTTTGGAGATGAGAAATTGTTGAAATGAGGTATAACACTGAAGCAAACTGTCTAGATATGAATACATTCTAGTGTTGAATAAAATGCTCTTAGAGCAAAAATAATAATGGTAATCCACTTTAACTCGCAGACTCGTAGAAACTTGTCTCGAAGAAAACTATTCAACTTGGCCAGAAGTCTCAACATCTCAAACTTACATCAACTTCAAAAGAAAATTTCATTACTTGGTATATTCAAATGACAATTTTCAGTTATTCGTCAATTTAACAAGACTAGTGATTTGTGTTTAATGTGCAGTGTCTATTTCAATAAAGAAAAGTCTAAATCGTCAAAGTAATCAGTGGTGCTCTATTTCTGAAGACTCTGTGTAATACACGTTAATGTCAGTTTATAACCAGAAGGAATGAATTCAATATTGATTTGTTTACACACTTTTAGGAAACCTGTATTATGCTTCTTTATTGAAAGGATCCTTTCCTATTGGAGGTGTTGAACTTTTTGGTGTATGGAAGACTCAGTAATCTGTCGCCAAAAAAACTGACAAAAGTACAAAACAATATCATTTTGGAACATATTATTTGGACATATTATTGACCAATTCTCACAAATCTGGATGAATTTGAAAAATGATTGAGAAATTTGTCCCTAGAATTTTTCAAGAAAAGTGGTTTGAGTTTTTCTTTTCAATATTTATTGAGTATATATGTATAGAGTAGACAAAGTCTCAAACTGAATCGGAAACAGTTAGTTGAAGGGAAATTTATTGATTGTGTATCATGAAAAACTAGAATATATATCAGCATTAGCAAAATTAATACAATATAATCATCAATCATGGATATCATGAATCAATTGAAATGGCATACCTATTCAGGACGTTTAACTACTCATATAGTAATTCCGGGTTATGGAAGCTTGTTCTATTAAATATTAAAATAGTATCACCTGTTGCATTTTATTCGGCCTTCGAAGAATGTTATATAATCCTACTGGAGAGAATGATTCAAATATGAATATCATATTTTATACATTAGCTGTAAGATGTGGATTTGTGGACTTGAACTGAATGTGATTAAAATATTTCTTTATTCCAAGTCGAACTGAAATTATTTTATGTAGTTTTTCTTTTGACATTCATACGTGTTGAGCGAATTCAGAAATTTGAAATATTATTGGTATTTACATAAATTAGATAAAATTTTTGATTTCATAACTATCTTCAGGATATGTCTCTATCGTATACACATGAATGTATCTCTAAAAATTTATAAAATCGATGAAACTACTTAATTGAATGAAGTAAGAAGTCGATAGATGTTTTCAAAAACAAATTTCTCAGTCATAAATAATGCAATTTGAAAGATTTTGCTAGTTATTTTTGAATCTTTCAACCTTGTTCTTATCTTTAGAAGAAATAGGAAATGATGGTGGCAATATATGATGTTTAGAACAGATCAATTTGGAATCTCTGACACAGAATAAATTTACAAATTACTTTCCTACACACCAGAACTGCGACAATACAATTTGACAATCAAATTGGTATCTTCAGAAGCGCAGAAGGGCCACATATTTGTTTTATTTGTATTTTGTGAATTACGATTTTGAATCTCGAAATTTCGACTTTTATCTCGAAATTTCGACTTTAATCTCAAAATTTCGACTTTTATCCCGAAATTTTGAGTTCAATCTCAAAATTTCGACTTTTATCTCGACTTTATTTCGAAATTACGACTTTAAACTCGAAATTTCGACTGTATCTCTGTATGAATTTACAAATTACTTTCCTACACACCATAACTGCGACAATACAATTTGACAATCAAATTGATATCTACGGAAGCGCAGAAGGGCCACATATTTTTATCATTTGTTTGACTTTGAAGTCGAAATTTCGAGATTTATGTCGAAATTTTGAGATTAAAGTCGAAATTTCGAGTTTGAAGTCGTAATTTCGAAATTACGAGACTAAGGTCAAAATTTCGAGATAAAAGTCGAAATTTTGAGATTGAAGTCGAAATTTCGAGATTAAAGTCGAAATTTCGAGATAAAAGTCGAACCTTCGAGATTCAAAGTCGTAAGTTCCAAGAAACAAATAATAAAAATATGTGGCCTTTCTGCGCTTCTGTAGGTATGCATACTATTTTGTTTTATATACAAAATTGAACTAGATTCATCAATTACACTTTCGCTAGAATACTGTTCGAAACAAAAAAAAAGTTTCTTCATGAAACAAGGTCAACCGATGCATTTTTTTGAGGACAAAACACAAGCACTGCAGGAAAATCCTCGAGGCGCTCTCAGAGCGGTGCCTGTGCGAAAGTAGTGATTCACATTGTATTTGAATCGCTGGGGATTAAATCCATTTGGAAAAACGTTATCATGGAGTTTATTCCACAAAAACGCCGTTCTCCCATTGAAAGATTTCTTAAACAGTGAAGTTCGTGGTGTACTGAGTTGAACATCAAAACGATGAGCAGCCACAGTCCGGCGGATATGTACCTCCAATCAAAAGTGGCAAGTCACTTGAATCCAACAGCTTCAGGGTATGTTTGGGGGTGGAGCTCCATACATGAGAACAATACTGTAAAGAAGGTCTGATTTGAGCTCTATAAAGCATAAAAAAAATGCTGAGGTGTGTACAGTTTTCTGGTTCGGAACAGTGTTCCAAGCTTTCGAGAAGCAGCCTTTGCAATTCCAGCGACATGATTATGCCAAGACATATTGGTGTCTTGGCACCAATATGTGACGATGTGCATCCGCAGCTGATGTCCTGGATTTGAAATGTAATGACGTAACAAGTCAGTTTGCTGTCGTCAGCCAAGCAATATATTGGGTCCTTGGTTTTTTCCAATGAGTCGTTGATATACAATAAAAATGGTGAAAGTATTCAAGAGATATCCATCAATGGCTACTTGCAGAGAACGTTATTTCAGGAAGCTGAAGAGCCACACACAAAAATGATCTGACAAGCCATAGCTTCGAAGTTTGGCCGCAGATGGAATAAAATCATTTATGATCGAAGCACCTGACGAAATACATCTTGCGCAAAGGTATTAAATCGATATTTTTCAAAAGATTGTCACTGAATAATGAAATTAGTGAGGTGGTCGACGTAAAAGCTTGACGTGCAAATGAACTGAACTCAATAGAAATACGGAACTTGGATCGGCTGCTTCAAAGGGGCGTTAGGGGTGGAAGTCACCATCTGTGGCGAAAGGTTATAGATGATTCGATGACAAATAAAGATTTGAGTTTAGAAAAAATCTTAAACTCGAATATTCAAAACGATGAGCAGCCACAGTCCGGCGGATATGTACCTCCAATCAAAAATGGCGAGTCACTTGAATCCAACAGCTTCAGGGTATGTTTGGGGGCGGAGCTCCATACATGAGAACAATACTGTAAAGAAGGTCTGATCTGAGCTCTATAAAGCATAAAAAATGCTGAGGTGTATACAGTTTTCTGGTTCGGAACAGTGTTCCAAGCTTTCGAGAAGCAGCCTTCCAGCGACATGATTGTGCCAAGACATATTGGTGTCCATTTTGAACCCCAACAAACTTATCGAGGCAGAAAGCGGAATTGTCTGACCTGACATTATTATATCCGGTTCCGAAATCATTTATCTTTTTGGAAAAAACCGTCTGGGTTTTTATGGTGTTGAATCGAACCTCGTTATTTTCATCCCAATTCAAAATTACTTCTAGATCCTCATCAAGATCTCTCTCTCTCTCTAATTATATGGACGTTGCTTCCCACTCGGGCGCATTTGTCCAGACTACTCCTATCAAATTGACATCAATTTGACAGAAGCTTCGCCGGGAGGGGCGCAGCTGTCTTGCTCGAAGCAATGCTGCCACCCCTTTTTTGTCACACTTTTTACAATAAAAAAAACAATGTGTTTTTTAAATGTACTACATATATATTTATTGGGTAGCCTCCTTCTCGGGAGACCACCTTCTGATTTTTGAATTCACATATATGACCCCTTTACGTGGTTATCCGCACCGCCCCGGCCTGGATACCGGCGTGAATAAAGGGGTCCTTAAACTTCACTTCCACTTTAGCACTCCCACGTGGACATTTGGTCCACCCCGGCCTCCAACCGTCGTGAATGGGAGCACTATTTAATTAAAACCACTAAAACAATGTTTCTATAACTTTTGTAACTTTTGCTTGCACGTTATATAACGGCGGACATACACAACACGAACTGAATTCCACCTCCAACAATGGCGTCCGCGTACCTTCTTTGTGAACGGTCGCTATCGGCACGTCCGTTCACCACCATGTCAGAAACGAAACTCTCCTCATCAAGATATTCAACCTCCTGCTGCCGGTGACGATGTGCATCCGCAGCTGATGTCCTGGATTTCAAATGTAATGACGTAACAAGTCAGTTTGCTGTCGTCAGCCAAGCAATATATTGGATCCTTGGTTTTTTCCAATGAGTCGTTGATATACAATAAAAATGGTGAAAGTATTCGAGAGATATCCATCAATGGCCACTTGCAGAGAACGTTATTTCAGGAAGCTGAAGAGCCACACACAAAAATGATCTGACAAGCCATAGCATCGAAGTTTGGCCGCTGATGGAATAAAATCATTTATGATCGAAGCACCTGACGAAATACATCTTGCACAAAGGTATTGAATCGATATTTTTCAAAATGGTGTCACTGAATAATTAAATTTGTGAGGTGGTCGACGTAAAAGCTAGATTAAACTCAATGGAAGTACAGAACTTGGATCGGCCATATTATTCACTATATCAAACACCAAAACGAAAATAGTTCGGAAGTTCACGATAACAGAGAGTTTTTATCACATTTATATTAAATATATTCAGCTTCGTACGAGTAATGTAATGAAATATTTTTTTCTGAAGAAGAAGAAGAAGAAGAAGAAGGTAAAGGCACCAATCAAAGAATTGGAATCAATAAATTCAGAGCTATGCGTAAACAGATCGCAACCTTTTTGAAACTTCCATATCCAGAACTTTATACTGGACATACGTTTCGAAGATCATCTGCCATTCTACTTTCAAAGGGGCGTTAGGGGTGGAAGTCACCATCTGTGGCGAAAGGATATAGATGATTCGATGGCAAATAAAGATTATAGTTAAGAAAAAGTCTTAGGCTCGAATAAACAATGGTCTACCGTCTATGAATGTGGATATATAATCCTTGATGCCTGCATTTCAAATATTGAATTCGAACGGTCGATTTTCCAAAAGACTATAATTTAAAGTTGATTGTTTTTGTAGGTAAACTAATCAGAGATTTGCTGAAAAACTCAAAACTGTGTATCTCTAGTAACAAAACAAAATCTCCTTTACAACTCTGCAGATTAACAAAACAAAATCTCCTCTACAACTCTGCAGATTGTGCTGGTCGGACATATTTACAGCTACAGCTGTGAGCCAAAGTTGTTTCTCACTTTCGCGAGAACCTCAGTTGTTTACAGAATACATTCATACACGTTTCGGAGGGATTGTAACCGACTTTGATACATTTTACTATATCAAACAGAGTCCAAAGGAATCGAGTTCGGAAAGCGTGCGAACCATTCTATGGAACCACGCCTATCCATTCAATTTATTGAGTATCTATATCATTGAGGAATTATTTATGTAACCCTCTTGAATATTCAGGGTGGAGAAACCTTGCACAAGTCAAGTAACCTTGCTTCACACAACTTTTGATAACTTGTGAGGACATGTTTTGAATCAATCTGTATATATTTCTCTCTTTCAATGGTAAAACCATTTCCAAAAATGCTAATGGAATAAATTTCAAATGAAAGTTCGAAGAATTCACTTCTCGCAGCTTTCCTCTACAGTAGGATATGTCAAATGTGTGCTAGAAAAGGACAACTTGAATGATTATCTCCCTTGCTATTACCACGACGCCATCCAACATTGAAGAAACAGAGTACCAGATGGTAATGCTGGGTATGATCTTTGACAAAACTTGTAACCACGAAAGTTGTGATTTTTTGGCAGACATTTGCAGAATCCTGTATAAGATACAAACTGAGAAAGGTAAATACATTAGGTGACTTATAATGATGGTAGAAGAATTATGAAACAATAAAAAAAATAGCCATTAGCATCAGCAGAAAGTTATTCTTTTTGCAATAAATACATTTCTGTGAAAAAGCAGGAACGTTGAATTCGGACTTATCAAACAACCTCACTGGCCCCCTTTACGTTCCCGGGATAGGGAAAAAATTCAAAAGGTGTCTTCTCAATTGGAAATTCTAATCAATAATTGGAATATTTGTGAAAACTCACCTGCAGATAGCACTCTGACTATAAGCTGGTCCTTCCGTAACACTCAGTGCTTGACCTACTTGAGTTTGCGTTAAACCTAACGATAGTCTTCTCAATTTGAACGCCTTGGCAAAATCTTTGATCTCATCTAAATTGATTCCGTCTACCACGTTTGTGTTAGCTTGGTTGATTGTTGGCTGATCTACAAAGAAATCATTTATAATACATTAGCGGATTCAGAGCTACAATATTCTATTATTGGACAGAGAGCGGTGAGAATCTACATAATATAGGTACTCTGACCTACATTTGCAAAACAAACCAAGATTTTACCATTGGGATATTTCAATATCTCGTGTATTTGACACCAATCGCCTCAACCCCATGATTTCTTCCAACCATAAAATGTATCAAAATGGGAGGTAGAGAAAAATATGTATCAAATTCCTGGTTCAAACGTCCAGTTGGATTATAATATTACCAATCAAGTGATAAATGTGCTAATAATCGCATGTTGAATGATAAGACCTAGTTAATCCTTGGTTCGTACAATTTTAGACTTCTGAGTGTTGTCGTTAATAAGACGTTACCGGAAAAACAAATTTCAAACAGATGCTTCATAATATCGATACAATTATGAAACATTTTTCTGGGCCAATATTCCTAGAGTCTTAATTAATTTTATAACAACTTCCTCAAGTACTTAAATTTCAGGTAACCAGTAAGTAACATGTGTTCCTGGTGCTGCAGGTTAAATTTGAAATGAATTGCTATGCTACTCAAATCACTATGTGCAATATGTAGATGATGTCAGATGCATGGCATCGAGTAATTAATTACATGTTTCTCAATAGTTTTGTCGAACGGTTAACAAAAACCAGTTTTATTCCATACTCAATAATAATATGCATTTATTCAATTTTTCAGTACAAGGATCAGTCAATATCAATTTGAATAATCTGAACAGATTCAGGAAACCCACAAGTGACACCCTGTGCGTGGGTATTACTGTTTTATTCACAGTATTCACATTATAAATCAGAACGGTGAGAGTAAAATGGATTTGACAATTCAGGTTATGAAAATTTGGAGATGTGTGAATCTTAAATGTTAGAACTGTTAAAATGTAAAAATATAATCATGTAAAAATGTAAAAAGGTAATATGTGAAAATGAAAATGCAAAAAATGTAAAAATGGTAAATGTTAAAATGAAAATGCAAACATCTAAAAATGTCAACAAATGTTAGGCTGTAAAATGTGCCATTATTCGCCATGATTTCACAATAATAATGATGGAAAGAATCTTATACAAATATTTGGTCATTATTACGCCTTGGTCAAAGACGAAACGGACTGGTTTAGGTTTGACGATAGTCGTGTCACGAAGTGTTCTGGCGATGTATTGAATCTATTGGAGCCTCTGGAGACACCCTACATTTTGTTTCATGAGAGAGATGACATTAACAGATTAAGATCTGCAGACGATGTGGTGCTGCAGGTGTTTCCGGGTTTTCCTGCAGCTGAAAAAGCAAATGCGCCACTGGAATCAATGAAGTCGACCCGGGGCGCCAATTAATTTTTTGTTTTTGTTGTTTTTATTTTTATCGTTGTTTTGGAATTGAATTTTTCTAGAGTTTGACAAATAAATGTCCCACTTTGCTAGTTCCCATTTTAGTAGGTAATTTCGAAAGTGTTCTTCCATGGCATAAATAAGTTTAGTGATGAAGGAATACTCACTAAGGCCTTCTTGCCTGGGCGTGGGTGTTCTTTCATCGTGTATGATTATTGAATAATTATAAGTATAATATAAAAAAGGGTGGAGTAGTGATATTAGACTTCGAATAGTGTATTTGACTTATAGACATATACAATTTTTGCAGCATTTAAGGAACACTTGAGTAATGTATGCGGTTAGAGAAGCATAAAAACTATGAAGAATATGAACATGAATGCATTTTCCTTACCGCATTTCATGCGATCGAGGGATCAATTAATCGATGAATAGAAACTCTATCTGTTTCTGAAATGAAACACATGACATCTTCTTTGAACGAAATAGTTGTCAATGCAAGTCTGGTTTTCAGAGATGAGTAATTGTAAAGCCGGTTTGCAAGATGAATATATGGTCTCTGAACGATTATTTTTGTCTAGCATGTCGTGTTCAGTTGCGCATAGGTTTTAAGTTTTGTATTATTCCAACTAGCAATTTTATATTTCATAATATTGCGGAAACGTTTCGGAGAAACAAATTATAAAACTTTATTTCTCCCAGAAATGTTTTCNTATGGTAATGAAAACAAAACTGTATCTGATAGCATTTCAATAAAATAATTTCATTGAAACTACAGGAAGCAGTTATAGAATAATCTCGAAATAGTTTTGTAGCAGTTTTTGTGTTGTTTCACAACAGTTCCTAGAAAGTAAAGTTGTCTGAGGTCGAGCAATTTTGATTCTTTGAAAAGTGTTTCCGATGAGTATTGTGTTGGTTTTCCAAGGAAAATCTTTGTAAATTTTTTCTGTAATACAACTAATTTTTTCAAATGTTATGTTGCTACTTCGCCCCAGCCTACTATTCTATATGGAAGACGAGACTCTATAATTGCATAATAAATTGTTTTCATTCTCGAGGTATCTATTATATTACGTAAGTACTTGAATCTAGTGTGCTCCTCAATGTTTTAGTCACTTGGTCAACATGGTAGTTCCATCTCAGGTCTATCTAATCTGATCTGTAATATTGTTTCCTATATTCAATGTATCATATTGGGGTAGTGAGTTGGCATAGCACGAGAATGGTAAAAAGAATGTTTTTTCGTGATTAATCGATAGTATTTTATCCGCGAAGCATTCAAAGAGTTTACTCATGTTATCTTCTACGTTAGTTTTGAGATCATTCCAGCTTTAATGAAATGATTAAAAACACTTTTATCTAAATACCACTGGTAAATTTTATTTATACGACCGGTCGTATAAATAAAATTTACCAGTGGTATTTAGACAAAAGTGTTTTAATTCATTTCATTTAAGTGATCATGAATTACCATAAAGTAAATAAACAAGTCATCAATCACACATGTCATTCCAGCTATCAGCACTGTACAATACTGCTAACCCAATATGATACTAACTTACCCAATATGATACACTGAATTTCAATACTGAATTATTTTCAATACCACTACATTCAAAACTGTAGCCTTGAAAAATATTCGAGAATATAGGTAACCATTCCCACCTTCGTGCATTTCGTCTCCCATGATAGTTCATAATTACTTGTAGATGACATTTTGCGATAATTGTTATCAAATGCTATTGAAATTAACTGTAATCAGCCTAATCGCTCGTTAATCAAATTACTCCTGCACATTAACAATAATTAAACACCAACTTTGTTTTGTGATATAATATTATGTTCTGGAATTAATCATTTAATCTTCTTTCAATTGCATCAATAGAGCCAATAGATCAAAGTGGTTATTACCATAATAAAAGAAGACACAAATAAATCTATTACCCAATTTGTGTGACAATACGTCAATGGGCAAGCTTAAACTTACCATTGTTGATGTTAATAATGAATGCACATAATTTATTTGATGAATGTTATATTTAGATCGATACTCTCATGGTTTATTTTGATGAATTCAGAATTGAATTTAATTGTTTGCTCATATACACCAGTACATTTCACAATTTGTAAAATCAGAGAAGGATATCTGTGGAAATCGCAAAATTTGGACAGGATTAGAAGTAATCGTTAGATCAACATATACCTACAGGGTGGCCTATATTTTGTATTTTGATAATTGTAATTTTGAACATAACCGCAAATACAGATTTGATTTCCACCGAAACACTGATCTCATTCATCAGAACTGTAGTACTATTCTTGATATACGTTTCACCAGCCATAATGCATTATCAGATCATCTCTTCTTCTTTTGTTCCGAATATCATAGCGATCCATTCGATAATTAGGATGTAACAAATTTCGATAATGAAGGACATTTGTGTCTCCAGAATATATATTCTAAGTCTTATAAAGACAATGTAATTCTGTGTGACTTTCAGATTTTTGATGCATCCCATTCGGTTTTTGTATTTATGTTTATGAACAACTTTTCTAGTGCTATGAGTTCAGATCCTAAATTCACCTACTACAAAAATCATGAAAAATTTATACTAGTCAGGTTAAAAATGATGGAGAGGATCAGTTTGTGAAAAATGTTACATTTTCCGTGAAGAATTGCACAAAATACAAATACCTTGAGTAAAATTTTCAAAACAAACTGTTTGTTTTATGATAATAAAAGAGTTTAATACTGATTCTATGAATCATAAATCACCATATTTCACGATGAGGCTATTATGATCAAACAAAAACATATATGTCCCAGAACTTACATCGGCCAGACCAATAGAAGAATTTCCCAAATCAGATCCAGGATCATTTCTCTTGCTATGGAGACTACCATGGATCATGCAGGTCATTGTTATCACGCAAGATACCTGAAAATAAGTCAGGTACCCGGTCCGGCAGACCGGACACCTGCCATAATACATCTACCTTATACCTGTCCAACAATATAAATTTTGGCCCGGAACAGCAAATTGACTAGTGCGAACTTAGAGCTGAACACAGCAAGCATAGAGCTAGTGACGAGACTTGGGGGCAAGGGAGATTGCGACCTCGTCCTCGAGTCATGTAAGTACAGTTCCAAGTGATTCTTGAAAATGTCTCCAAGGCAGGAGCCGAAACGTCGAAAAGATGAAAATTACAGACACGGTTCAACCCGGACAACAGTATATCAAATTACTGACCGCGGAAACCTTTCAGTAGGAGATTCTGTGATGTTTCGAGGATCATCTTCTGCTTGTTTCATAAAATTTTTATAATCACTTTTAAGAGCGGTGATAGTTTTACGTTTTATGTTCGCTCTCGAAAGTATATGTCGACCGCATACTGGACACTGAGTTATGTGAAGAGAGGCTAGATAATCGATACGGCTAGCACTGTGTGTTAGAGTGTGGAGAAAAGGAAGCCATACATACTGGCGCCGTTATGCGTTACGTTGTTTTTCTTCAAAAATATCTTAATTATCAACATCTATGATTTAGGTGAGAAAATTATCTCAGATGAAAAGTGAGATGACTGAGAGATATACTCACTTGGCGAATCGACCAATAAGTCAGCAGTTGAGTTGTCCATACAGTTGGGTGACAAGGAACGGGGTGACCTTTTCAGACTTGGACAAGTATTACCCACAAATCCCGTTGATACATTCAATTCTCCATTACTGGATGGTCTCGCACCATTTCCTATATTCGTTGGAGATGGATTTCTTGAGAGGTTACTTGAATTTTGATTGTGTATCTTGGTATCGCTGTAGTGATTGCTGTTATTCATTTGGTTCGAATTTAGTTGATTGGTACCCATCTGACTATTTCCTATTTGGTTTCCACCCATCTGATGATTGGTATTCAAGTGGTTGGTGCTCAGTTGGCTTCTGTTGAGATTGGAAGGTTGTGGAGGCGGTGGCGATGTGAGCATGGTAGATGGAGTTGTTAATAGAGGTTGGGAAATTGGATTCATCATGTGGGGAGAATTGGGGTTCGTATGAGAGTTGCTGAGTATTTGCGGAAGGCTTTGCAGTAATTGCTGGGCAGATCCATTGGAGAGCAAATGGGTTAGAGTTGCAGGATTGAAGAGATTAGGGTTCATCACTCCATTTGAGTTAGGTGGTACTGTAAATGAAAAAGTATTTAAAACGATATCACTTATTGATGAAATGATCAAAAAGTAGATTCATGCCTTTGAAAAGGATTTGGGAACATTTTGTGAATAGTTATATGGTTGAAAACGAATTCTAGAAATGATACTGAAATCTTAAATAACTGGTTGATTCTAATTAACATAGAATAACACTTACTTGATGTATTGGGATTGGTCAGTAAGTTACTTTGAGCCATAGCTTGTAAATTTGCCAAAGACGTCTGCATCACTTGACCATTATTCAAGGCTAAATTAACTATTTGGTCTGTGCTATTTACATGATTGACTGGGATTGTTAATATCGTCTGTGTTGCCAAACCTTGAAAATAAAACAGTATATAAATAGTTATCTTGAACTAGGAAGTTCTAATTGGGGATCGAAACATTGTGAAGTTGGATGTATGATGATAATATGGCTCAAGAGTTAGACGAGATGATCAGATGCATAGAGTTTTACACATACCATCTGAATTTGAAGGTGAATTAATAAATACTAAATTATGTTGTTGAACGTCTGGCAAATTTATATTAAACGTAACTTATAATGCACTGTTTAGAACCTTTGGTGTAGTAATAAGTATTACTGGAGTTTTATCTCAACACCAAACCGTTATTTCCAACACCTTGATACGTGTTTCAATCACCAAGTGATCATCTTCAAGAGGAAGATTACACTCTTGAACTTAATCATACTCCTGAACTTAATCTCCCTCTAGAAGATGATCACTTGATGATTGAAACACTTGTCGAGGTGTTAAAAATAACAGGTTGGTGTTGGGATAAAACTCCAGGAATATTCATTCAAATATAATTTGTTCATGCCCATAGAGAATTGAGGATATTCGATATCGAAAATTGAAATATAATTTACTTCAAGTGTTGCTGGGTCCAAATCTGACTGTTTCATTTTAGCAACTATTCAGTATTTGACTACTTGTATGGAATTAAACTCATCATCACAATTATATTTCAACGTAGATACAATTTTCTTAATAAAATCAAAGTGATCACTGATAGCAAATATAATTTAACCAGTTCGTAAAGTACCGACCCGAAATATTATGAAAGAGAGATTCACTATTTCATCATTCAATCTCAATTGAAATGAACCAATGAAAAAACTCTACCTTGTGATGTAGGTATGAGCAATTGGGCGCCCTGAATTCCTTGAACTAGATGACCAGAGGCCAGAATGAATTGTGGCATTGGTGCAGGTTGTTGAGAACTCAGGAGATGATTTGGGGGTTGCATTGGCGATGCAGGAGGCGGCTGAGGGTTCATAGGGTTCGTCAATATACTGGGGGCATGCTCTTGATGATTGCCAGGTTGAGAACTCCTTGGTGTCGCTGCTAAAAATAAGGAAGTGAAAGTTTCTGTCAAGTCAATGGATGTTTTCGATGTTTTTTTCGTGATGACAATATCATTTCATTGACCCACTTCGAAAACTATATCTATATACAGGGTGAGTCAACAAGATTCCCTCGGTCAATTGCTATCAGGGAAAACTAAACTTAACTAAAACTTGGTATAATTAGTAAAATATCAGTTTTCGTATCGCATACTTCTGATAAAATATGTTGTGGCTATCCATTTGAAAACGTTGAATTATGTCTGTTTGAAAATGAATGGAACTTGACCGGTTTTACCGAGCACCCTTCTCAACTTGAGGTTAAGTGGAAGAGCAATTGAATGATGACTTGCCATCATGTAAATTAAACTTTCTCTTTTATTTTCACATAATAAATGAACTGTTCCTGATTAATTTGATTCAAATGTATTAGAAGATAATAAAGACGATTTTTTTTTCACCGTAGTCACCCCGAAGCCCCGATACATTCGGGAGGGCGCGCCAACATTATCATTCACACCACCCCCCACAACGTGGGGTAAGTGATCATTGGGTCCGAGGATCATGTGCTCTGAGTAAGCGCAGTGAGCCAAGAATGACAGCCTTCTGCATCTGTGTGGCTAAGATTCCTGCCTTAGTGCTGCAAGCCGGTATGATTTTAAGATTCCAGAGTAGAGAGGGCATTATTCCACCAAATACTCCAATAATCAGAATAACCATCTTGACAGAGTGGTCTGGATAGAGTCTGCGGAGTTCGAAGAGAAAATCTCGATATTTCATGCGTTTCTCCTCCTCTTTTCGGACAATATTCGTCTCGCCAGGAACAGAAAACTCCATGACAAATATCGTCTTGTTCTGGTGGTCGAGAAGGACTATTAGGCTTATTAGCTTGTATAAGTCTGAGGGTGGGAAACGAATAGTTCCAGTAAATTCGATACTTCCCGTGCACCACAACGGATTCAATATCCCCCAGAGCGTTAGGCAACACCGGTGTCTCGTCAATACCGTAAGAGTGCCATAGATATTAATATAACACTCTTAGGGACGCATTATGTCGATGGATGTAGGCTGAGACCGCATATGCTGGACATGCTGGTAGCAAGTGCATTAGGGTCTCGGGCGCCTCGCAGCAGGCCCTGCACCTTGTGTCAGGAACCTCTATACCCATCACGCGATTGCGATAGACTAAGGTGTTGAAGACACCATCCTGGCAAGCCATGATGAACCCCTCAGTTTCCGACTTTAGCCCACTCGACCTGAGGAAAGCGAAAGTCAGGCGCTTTGATAAGCCAAAGTCTTCAATGTTATTGAAGAAGACTTCATGCATTGGCTTATCCTTGTGTTTCCGCAGCAGTGAAGTGCGGCTTTTATACGAGCTTTTTGCTGAACGGGTTCCAACTCGGTGACAGAGTTGTGGTCACCTCGTTCAGTGTCGAAAACTAAATCGAGTTCATCAGCTGCTCGGGCAGCTGCCCTGAAGAGACATGCTACAATTTCTGCTCTCTCATGGTCACGGATCATGCAGAGAAGGGGATCCAAACTCCTGACGACTTTACAGGCTATATCCAGTACCATTATGTCATGTAGACACTCCAAACTCAAAAGTCCACGGCCTACCTGTTGTCGGGGGAAATACAACCGTGGGACGGACGATTTGGGATGCAAACTCCTATAGAGATGCATCATTTTTCGGGTCTTTACGTCGAGTTGATACAGCTCCTCCCGAGTCCACTTCGCTACTCCAAACGAGTAGAGTCAGATTGGAACAGCAAGCATATTTGTTGCAGCAACTTTGTTCTTCCCCGACAGTTCCGATGACCAGATCTGTCGAAATTTCTGCTGATACTTGCCGCGGAGAGAGTTTTTCACTGCTATTACCTCTTGTGAGTGGCGTTGTGCCACCCTGAGGTAAGTATACGTGTCTCCGGCATCCAGATGGTGTAGGCTGCTTCCATCTATGAGCTGCACATCCTCTCCGTAGTCCCCGTATCGTCCTCTTTTGAGATGGACCATTGCACATTTGTCTATCCCGAATTTCATACCGATAGTATGCGTGTACTCTTCCACTGCCCTCAAGGACTGATGGAGATCCTTCTCTCCAGAGGCATAAAGTTTAAGATCATCCATATAAAACAAATGGGTGACCTTGTGTCTCCGGTTTCCGGAGGTGCCACAGTTATACCCTCGAGTATTTCTGAACGCAACGGATAATGGCAATAGTGGGATGCAGAAGGGGACTGAGAGAATCGCCCTGAAATACACCCCTTCTGAAAGTGACCTACCCTGTTTGGACTCTGGCTTGACCAGATGTTATGGTGAAGCGAGTTTGCTAAAGTGGTATCAGTTGTTCAATGCATCTCACTATTTTGTCGGGTACCGCAAGGCATCTGAGTAAATGCAAGATGAGCTCATGCGATATTTATCAAATGAGTTACGGTAATGGATCCAGGCCATAGAGAGGTTGCGCTTACATTATATAGAGTCCTGCGTTACACATCTATTGATGAGCAGGTACTCTTTACATCCAGCGACTCCTCTCTTCGACCCTCTCTGCTCATATATCCATTCGAACACTCGGTCAACTGCGGTGAGTATTCGTGTGTATAAGATGCTTGTAAACGACTTATTATTGTTATTATTTATTGTTTCCGAAAGTTGAGATTCCAGAAATTATCATAGTGATGTTGACTAATTATTCCTAAAAAAATCCATTCAACTGCTGTAAACATGCGGGTGGTGAATTAAAAAAATATTGTCTACAAAATAGGTTTTTCTGGAATAGCTTGGCAATGCTGCAATGGAAATTGGAAAACAAAAACTCCTTAGAGAGCTAAAAAATATGAAATCGAATGACGTATTCATATACTGGGTGTTTTCGTTTCATTCAGTTTCAGTTCAATGTTACCAGTTCTTATAGTTTTTTGAAAAAAAAAATTATTTAGTTGCAACGTACTCTGATTTTGAAAATACAGAAAAATGTTAATCGGAATAGTTACTTGAAGTACTAATTTTCCGACAGGAAATAGTAACCCCCTTCAAAAAAAACTTTTTTCCAAATTTCCTGTTTACTTTGTAGACATACCGATGAAAATCATTCACACATCGGAAAAATACATCAGTATTAATTCCTGATTAACGGAAAAACCGATTTTTAAACAGATTAATTCCTTAGAAAAGCAATTTACTTAAATAATATCAAGGAGTTGTGATACTTCCATTCTCTATATTTTTTTAATAAAGATGATTGATATCAAGTGCATAAAATAATATGCTTAGTTACAAAAATTCTTCTGATATATTTTCAAACATAGCTGACTGCTATTAATATACTGAAACAAATAACTTTTTGGCTATATTTTTGTAAATTAATGTATAAAGAGTTTGGAGAAGGAAAGAGAAATTAAAAATATCAATAAAAACTATATATATCATGTACATGAAAACGTAAAAACATATACAGTGTGACCGATTCGAATATGTAATTTGTGAAAATATATCATGTAACAACTTACGGATGCAAATATTTTACAGCTTTTTAATTAGGAATTCATAGAGAAGAGTTTATCACTGTCCTCTGGTTCTTATCATGGTAACTTTGTTTTAAACGTTAACATAAAGTTTTCCAGCATCTTCTGAAAACATACCTCATTTCAATTGAAATAAGATTTCTATGGCTGGGATTGAATAATATAAGCGGATGTCATCGATGACATGAGTAAGAACAATCAAGTGACGAATGTTTGGAGTACAAATTGAATAGAAAAGAGTATTTTTTTGTATAATTCAATGTTTATATAAAAGGAGTTGTTTCGAAAGTATTTTTCTTACGTTTAATTCAATGTTTATTGGAGAGTAGTTGTTTCAAGAGGGCACACACTGGAATACAATCAATAAGACTTCATCGTGGAATAATTTATATTTAGCAGCGTGAAAGTCTAGGATCCTACTGCAAATTTAGTGTACGAATAATGTAGACAATCAAAATTTAATTTTGAACGATACAATAATTTACTTGGCTCATGTATGGAATACCCGACTGTCAAGATGTGAATGAGGCTAGATTTATTATGTTTAATAAAATGTATAGCTCAAAAAATTAAAATGAATAATTTTTAAAAAACATCCAATGCTTCGCCTATACACATATTCTGCCATATTGGAAGCCTTTAGAACAAAACATTTTGAGGACTACTTATGTGAATTCCATGTGGTTAAATGCTACTGAGCCACATTGCATCAAGTTCAGCGCAGAGAATAATGGCTGGATGGTTTCCTCAAACCAACATGGTTTATATGAGATGCAACACCTGTAGAAATCCAGAGTGTCATATTACGTAATTCCCAGGACGAATCAGCTGATAAAGAAGAAGACTCCGATATTTGTAGTGATGAAACTGATAGCAAAGATAGTGAGAGTAGCGAGGAATCTGATTTTGAATAAACGACAAGGAATGAGATTTTATGATTTATCAAATGATGTACCTATTTCTTTCCATCTAATCTTCCAGTAATTTCTCTACAAAGAGTTAATTATCTTGTTACACATTATTGAAACTCTACAATTATCCGTAATTGACTGTCAATAATTTGTCACTTGTGACTCTATTGAAAACATTATTAAAATCAAAGAATTGCTCAAACAAAACTTAGATAAATAAAATTTTCTTTCAGATAAGTAATTAAGGTTTTATTTTTGACACGTATGCTCTTGTGTTTTTTTAATGATTTTTTTTACTTTCAAATAAAANTGATACTTTTCCATTTACCTACGAGGTGATTTGAGAATATATTTGGAAGAGTAGTTGTCTTTAGAGGTGATTTTTTTATATATTCCAATACTCCTTGAACGACGAAAAATATACATTTTTCTGAAGATATTTATCTTTAGTATTCAGATTAGCTTTTTTTTTGAGAATCGATGCAACTTTTCTCCAGATAACATTTCATTTAACATTCTGGAGATTTCATTTATTTCTTATTGTATCTTTTGAAAAT